GGCCCCGAAGCCTGACACCTGCGCGCGCGTGCTGGCAAGGAGGGAGGGCCGTGCGGGACCCCAGCCGTGCCGCCGCCAGGGCGGCGTTGCGCCCGCGGCTGGGCGCAGCGCCAGCGCTGCGCGGTCGGCGCCGCGCGCCCGGCGCGCGAGGAACGAGCCGCTTCTGTCTCGAGGCCGTGGCCAGCGAGCTGCCCGCCGAGCGCCCGCCGCGGCCCACTCGGGTGCAGGGCCCAGAGAGCTCCCCAACGAAACCAGAGAAGTCCAACAACCCCCGGGCCGTCCGTCAGAGCGTGAATTACCTCCCCCGCTTTCGCTTCCAGGCAAAACCAAGCCATACCACGCGCCTCCTCGTCAAGCGGCCTGACCAGTACAGGCCGCAATTTGGCATCGTTTGGTATCTCTTGGAAGCGAGGGTGGTCAAAAGCGAGGTAGGTCTGTTTTCCCCCGAGTCCGACGAGCCGGCGCGGCCGGCGCCAGCTCCGCCACGGAGCGCCCGCAACAGAAACGAGCCGCCACAGACCGCACGGGCTCGAGATCGCCGGCTGCTGTGCTGCGCTTCGCGGGTGGAGGGCGCGCCACGCCCTCGCGGTCCGGCGCGTTCGCCTCGGCGCCGCGCGGGCTCCTGGCGCCATCGCTCGGACGTCCACTCCCTGTGTTTTTGCTTCGGTTTCGTGCGTGCTCTTTTTTCTGTTCGCCGGACGATCAGGGATGCTCCTCGATGGTCCTCGCCGAAGGAAGCATGCACACGTCTGAGCTCATGCCAAGGGCTCTCGCCTCAAGGGCGCAACGAGGCCTTCGGGGCGGGATGGGGGCGGGCCGCTCTTAGCAGGCGCCGCTCCCGCCTTTTTTGGGTGCAGCGCGCGCTCGTCGTCACAAGTCTGCGGCGGCGTCGAGATGGGAGGGCGGCGGTGTGTCCAGAGTGTGCCTCTCGCCTCGGCGCCGCGCGCGCTCGCCTCAACGAACTGCAGAAGCCTCGCGGCTCGAGGGCGGCCCGTCTTCAAAAGGCTGCTCTCGACGGCGCGCCACGCGCGCTCGTCTCAGCAGTCTGCAACAGCTTCAAGGGTGAATGCCGAATCTTGATCGGAGTGTGGCTCTCGTCTTAGCGCCACGCATGTTCGTTTAGAATGTGCGCAACAGCTCCAAGGATTCGCATGGTCGAAATCCCAGGAGGTGCGTTCTGGCAAGAAGTAGGATTGCCAGGACACACCAGGCACGTTGACTCGCGGTGTTGACGGGCCAGGAATGGTGCTCTGCCGCGGTTTAAGATTGTCAGGACGCAACAGACATGTTGAATCGCGACGCTGAAATCCCAGGAAGGGTGTCTTGGCACGGTTGTGGATTCTCAAGCGGTTGTCTTCCAAAGGACATTCCCCGCAATGATAATCGGGGCTTGCAGGGCCCTGTGCAGACGGAAATTGGAAGGAGGGTTGAATGCAACATCGTCGATACGTCCTGGGTTCCCACAGGTCTTCCTCATCCTCCTCTTTTTGTTCTCCGCCGTCCTCTTCTTTACCTTCCTCCTCCTCCTCCTCCTCCTCCTGCTCCTCCTGTTCCTCCTCCTCCTGCGTGTCCTCCCCCTTTTTCCTCCTTCTTCCCCCCTGGAATCCGACGTCGCGAAACGAACACACGATCGTGGCATGTGACACATTACGGCCGGATGCAAACGCGTGCCCCGAGAATGTACGTACGTGGCAGACTCTCGAGCTGCATCGGCCCGCGGGAGCCCCCTGGGCCGAGAAACTGAAACGATCAGATGCCTGGCGCGAGACAGCTACGATGCCCAGGCATCGAGGAGCTCCTCCTCCTTCTCCTCCTCCTCTTCCTCCTCCTCCTCTTCCTCCTCCTCCTCCTCCTCCTTCTCCTACTCCTCCTCCTCCTCTGCCTCCTCCTCCTCCTCCTCCTCCTCCTCCTCCTCGTCCTGAAATGATACGATGCCCAGGTATCAAGGAGTTCCTCCTCCTCATCCTCCTCCTCCTCCTCATCATCATCATCCTGCTCTCGATGATCCACGGGAGGATGATGCCTGGCGCGAAACGAATACGATACCCAGGTATCAAGGCGCTCCTCCTCCTCCTCCTCCTCCTCCTCTTCCTCCTCCTCCTCCTCCTCCTCTCCCTACTCCTCCTCCTCCTCTGCTCCTCCTCCTCCTCCTCCTCTTCCTCCTCCTCCTTCTCCTCTCTCTCCTCCTCCTCCTCCTCCTCCTCTCCTCCTCCTCCTCCGCCTCCTCCTCCTCCTCATCATCATCATCATCATCATCATCATCATCATCATCATCATCATCATCATCATCATCATCATCATCATCATCATCATCATCATCATCATCATCATCATCCTGCTCCCGATGATCCACGGGAAGCGCGCTGGCGCCAACGGATGTTTGTCCACCGAAGCCCTGCAGCACGACGCCGGGCGGTGCAATGAGGGCCGATGCGGGCTGCAGGATGTCGGTGGAACTAAGACGGGGTAAACCCACACTGGTTTGACTACCTACCAAACCACCCCAACCCAACCCGAAGACCCAAATTTGACCCCAATTTCGGGTTGGGGGGGTACGGGTTCCATGTGTTTTTTCAACGTTCCCCGACCCCCCCCCCCCACTGGAAATGGATGGCAAATTGAGGGCTTCGGGTTGGGTTGGGGTGGTTTGGTGGGTGGTGATGGTTGGCGGCGCGGACAAGGTGGTATGGGGGAGGGGGGACGGATTCTCAGAGGGAGGCTGCCTCTTAGAGGGCGCCCCTAACCCTACATCTACAGGCAGGACCCGCGCCGTCTAAGAAGCAACATGCGATCACGAAGGTTGTAAGAAAGCCTGGCCGGCTTCCCGGCAGGTTCTTATCACACACCTGGGCCAGTTTCTGCAGTGGACGCTGGAGCGGCAAACGCGCTCAAGGAGCTTTGGCCAACTTTCCAGCAAGTTGGCCCAGAAACGCCGGCCCAGCTATGCGAGAGGTTTCTTAATCGTACGCTCGACTGTGAGCCTTTCCCGCTTCCTGCACATCCCGTTCGGCACCGCCTGATCCCCGGGCTCCGCCCGCTCCTGGCCGCGTGAGGCCCCGCCTGCCCTCGCCCCCCCCCTCTGTCAATCAAAGCCGCGCGCGTCCCGCGGAGCTTTTAGCGGAAGAGGCTCGCTCTCGCCCTGCAGATGAAAAAACATAAAATAAGCCTTCCCCCCTCCCCCTACCCCCTTCTGCGCGTGGCTGACACGGGGCTGACGCGCGTCCTCAGGATCGTCGGCCCTCCTCCTGCCGGCCCGCAGGCCCTCCCGAAACCGTTGCCGCCCCTGTCCCCTATCGGGAGCTCCTGCGGCTCTGGCCGACCCGTCGGAGCTCCCTTGGCCTGCGAGGGGGGGAACGCACCTTCTACAGGGCAGTTTTTAATACATAGGATGTTTAAACATATCGGATTTCTAATGCATGATTAATTTATGAATCAATGTATGTATAAGCTCATCGTTGTTTTTGATACTCCGCACGCGGAGCATGTATAAAAAAAACGGCACTGTACGCCGCAGCGCGGCAGAGGCAATCCGCACGCGCGTCCAGGCAGCCTGGGCCACGGCGTTGCGAATTGAATTGCCCCACATGCAAGAAGGGTGGAGGAGACGACGGACGGCCGCGGAGGAGGGGCAACCAAGACGGGGAGGCACACTCTCGCGGCGAGGCCGCAGTGAGGCGCGCGGGAAAGGGCAGAGCCGGCGCTCAGCCCCTGGCAGCGGGCGCGGGGCGGCATCACGAGGAGGGGGGGGGGGGGGAACACCCAGTGTGACAGAAAACGCTGCCCCCAGATCTCAACGTTCTCCTCCTCCTCCTCCCCCCCTCCTGCCGCCAGCTCCAGGCCCAGCCAAGAGAGTGACCTTTGTGGTGCGCGGCCCACCGGGGCCCGTTGGGAGGCCGAATCCGAGCGCGCGGGCCTATGCTCGGATATGCTGGGTGGCCCCCCAGTCAAGCGGGTGGTAATATTAGGTCGGGCGTGTCCTCCTACAGGCGGGTTTTGGACGAAAAATCAAAAGTAGTCCAACAAAAATACTCCAAAATAATCCAAAACAACTTAACAACAAAAATCGTCCCCAGACGATTTTCTCTATTTCGAAATTCTCCTCCTGTAGAGGGACAAGGCCGACTTCATGGTGGAGAAAAGGGCTGCCTTTTTCTTCACCCCCCATTTGGGTAACCCCCATTATCATTACCACCCGCCCGACCAATGTGAGCCCGCACCAACGGTCAATCCGGCGAAGGATCACTCCTACGCGTCGTCGAGACCCAGACACCTGATGTCTCAATCATTGCGAGGTCCCCGGATGCCCCGACCCTTTCGCCCCAGGGCCACTCGTTTTTGTTGACGGCCATAGGGCATGGCGAGGGCTCCAGATGCCGAGAATAGCAAATAGCCTCCCGTCGCGATTCTTGTCGCGACGCGAGCATGTCTGGGGACAGGCCTCATCAAGGATTTGATGACCTGGGTCCACGCAGACCCCGGTCAGTCGGGCCTTGCAAAATCTGGCAGAATTTTGCAGGATCCTGCAGGATCCTGCACTCAAGCCCAAATCAATGCGACCCTGGCCCTGCAGGATCCTGCAAAATCCGGCGCTCTGGCTGACCCCCGTTTGCCTTGACCCACGTCTCTTGAGCACCGACCTCATTGTCCGCTTCGCTCGGGGGGGGGGGGGGGACACTGAGGGGCGACCCAACTCGGGGGTGAAGAAAAAAGCCCCAAAGGAGCCCTTGATGAAGGCCCCTGTTGGAGCCGGCCGGTGCCCCAAAAGGGGCCACTCCAGGGCCCCTCTCGGGGCCCTTCTCTTCACCCCTCCTGTGGGTCACCTCCATTGCCGCCCGCCCGATTCCCCCCCTCGCCATCGCTCGGACGTCCATGCCCTGTGATTTCTTCGGTTCCGTGCGTGGCTTTTTCGCCAAATGATCAAGGATGCTCCTCGATGGTCCTCGCCGAAGGAACACTGCACACGTCCGAGCGATGCCAAGCCCCCCCCCCTGGAAGAGCACCTCGGGCTCCGGCTCCGTCTTAGCCTGGCTCAGCTGCTCGGCGTGGTCCAGGCACTCCTGGACGGTCGCCTCCGCCGCGCGCGGTCGGGCGGCCCCCGGGCGGGCCAGGGGGCGGGCCCGAGCGCAGCCCCGCGGGGGCCTCGAGAGCGAGCGGGGGTGACTACCTACTAGACCACCCAAACCCCAACCCGAAGACCCGAATTTCGGGTTGGGGGGGGGTATGGGCTCCGTATGTGCTTTTTCGATGTTCCCGGACCCCCCCCCACCAGAAATCAAGGGTTAAATCTGAGCCTTCGGGTTGGGTTGGGGTGGTTGGGTGGGTGGTGAGGGGGGGGAGGCCTCGAGACCCTCGCGTCGTGAGCACATCACAACGGGAGCTGTTTTGTTTGCAGCTCTCGGCGTCGGGCCCTCGCCGGGCCCCGGGCCCGTGAATCACGGGCTGGGAGGAAGGGCCGGTCCAGGGCAGGGCTCAACCAAAAACGGTGCTGTGCGTGTTCGTGTTGTCTGTCGCTCTTCCTCGTCGTGGCTTCGCTTCGCCTTGAATGCAGAGCGAGGCGAGAAACGAAACGGCCCACGAGGTGGCCAGAACTCCGTACGGGTCAAGCCCTGGTCCAGGGAAAAGGGGTCTGGCCCTTCACGAGTGGACCACGCTGGAAAACAGATCACGACGTCGCGGGCCTGGGCTGGCGGCGCGCCGTACGTGGGTGGCGGAAGGCATCCGGGGGAGCTTGGGCAAGACTCCGTCGGTGCCTGGAGGTTTGTCTCGCCTCAGGACCGCTGCCACCAGCCGCGCCTCGCCAGAGGTGTCCTGCGGGCTGCACGCCTCGTCCCGAACGGCCGCCAGGAGGCCAGAGGTTTGGCCCGAAAGGCAGGCGCGCACCGCACGCGGGGTGGGGCGCCAGGGGGCGCGGCCTTCTATCCAGGCGGGGGAGCCTCCAGAAAGTCAGGGGCCGTCTTTGGGGAAACCAGCAGGTACCGATACCTTCGCTTCCCGGACCTTTTCTCGGGGTGCGTCCTGAGCAGGCGCCAGGTCCGACAGCCGTTTCGCCTGAGACTTCCTCAATGTATTCAGGGATCGCGCTCTCGCCTGAGTGCCAGCAGCATGCTTGGTCCAGACGACCACGATCCCTGGCAAAATGTTTGCCAGCACTGACCCAAAGCAGTGCGTTTCTGCAGTCTATGTGGTTCTATGTACGTGGAGCAATCTAGGTGGTGCAATCTACGTGAATCAATACATGTAGCGCAATCGACGCGGTGCAAGTTATGTTGTGCCATCTATGGCGTGCAATTGCTTTTAACAAACGAATTGGCACATCCCGCGCTCTTGCAAACATCCCACCCACCCACCCGCAACTTGGTTTGCAAAACCAACGACGACAACGTTGACGACGCCGACGACGACGACAACGACGACACCGACGACGACGACGTCAACAACGCCGACGACGACGACGACGACGACGGCGGCGACGACGACGACGCCGACGTCGGCGACGACGAAGCCGACGACGCCGACGCCGACGCCGACGACGACGAAGACGACGACGAGACGCCGACGACGGACGACGACGACGACGAGGGAGGAGGACAACGACGAGGGAGGAGTGAAGACGACGACGACGACGACGACGGCGACGAAATAGGAGGGACAACGACGAAACGCCGACGAAGACGACGAGGGAGGAAGGACGACCACGGCGACAACGACGACGCAAGCGACGACGACGCCAAGACGACGGCGACGACGACGAGGAAAGACAGAAGACGACGACAGCGACGACGACGACGACGACGACGAGGGAGGAGGGAGGACGACGACGACGCCGCAAGAGCGCGCGCGCACGCTTTTATTGAAAATCCGTGTTGCGAAACCTTGTGTTCTTGTAGATTTTTGGACACACGATTTTGAAATCCTTCCGAAACCAAATGTTTTGCAGGATTTCGGCATACGCGCGCGACGACGCGCGCGTCTGCACTTCGTCCAGTTTTTTGCGAAATTCTCGCGACGGCACACGCGCAAGGGCGTTCGACAGACTTCGACATGCGCGCGCGCGAGTTGTGAAAATCTTGAAAAAAAACTATGGTTTTCTTAAGATTTCGCAAGAGCTCGCGCGTAAGCTTTTTTAGCAAATCAGTGTTGCGAAACCCGTTGTTTTTTATTGTTGTTTGGAAACTCGATTGCGAAATCCTTCCGGCACCGAAGGTTGTTGAAGGATTTCGGCATGCGCGCGCGACCACGCGCGCGTGCGCACTTCGTCGAATTTTTTGCCAGGGATTCGCGGAAAAGTGTTGTGCTAGAACAAAGAAGTCACCGCATAACGCATCGTGTTTTTTTTACCAGGGAACCTCCGGGGGGGGATACCGGCCCCCCTGGGATAGTGTAAATTCATATTTAGAATGGACATGTGGTCAGAATCATATGTGATTTACATACCCGAAAGGTGAACCGATAACGCCAGGGGGGGGTAGATCCTATTCTGTTTCTGGAAAGGAGAATTCACTTGCCGAACTTGAACTTGTCAACTCCACTGCTCGCGCAATCATCCCACCCGCCCGCCCGCAACTTGGTTTGCAAAACCCATGCGGCGGCGATTGCGATGAGTGCTTGGTGTTGGCTGGTGCATCTTTGCTGCCGCGCCATCCCGCGCATACTCGCACGCGCCGCGGCCAGCTAGTGTGGCGAAACCGACGCGGCCGCGGTGGCGCTGACCGATGGACACTTCCCAGCGGGCACTTCAGTGCGATTCGACGACAACGACGACACCGACGACGACGACGTCAACGACGCCGACGACGACGACGACGACGACGACGACGACGGCGGCAACGACGACGACGCCGACGTCGACGACGACGAAGACGACGACGACGCCGCCGACGCCGACGCCGACGACGACGAAGCCGACGACGACGTCGCCAACGAAGACGACGACGATGGAGGAGGGAGGACGACGACGGCGACAACGACGACAACGACGACAACGACGAGGGAGGTGGGAGGACGGCGACGACACGAACGACGAAAAAGGAGGAAGGACGGCGACGACGACGACGACGACGACGACGACGGCGGCAACGACGACGACGCCGACGTCGACGACGACGAAGACGACGACGACGCCGCCGACGCCGACGCCGACGACGACGAAGCCGACGACGACGTCGCCAACGAAGACGACGACGATGGAGGAGGGAGGACGACGACGGCGACAACGACGACAACGACGACAACGACGAGGGAGGAGGGAAGACGACGACGACGACAACGACGACGACGACGACGACGGCGACGAAATAGGAGGGACGACGACGAGACGCCGACGACGAACGACGACGACGACGAGGGAGGAGGATGAAGGACGACCACTGCGACAGCGACGACGGAAACGACCACGACGCCAAAGAGGACGGCGACGACGAACACGAGGAAAGACAGAGGACGACGTAGGCGACGACGACGACGACGACGCGGGAGGAGGGAGGACGGCGACGACGACGACGACGACGACGCAAGAGCGCGCGCGCACGCTTTTGTTGAACATCCATGTTGCGAAACCTAGTGTTTTTGTATGTTTTTTGGACACGCGATTTTGAAATCCTTCCGAAACCGATGGGTTATGAAGGATTTCGGCATACGCGCGCGACGACGCAAGCGTCTGCACTTCGTCCAGTTTTTTGCAAAGGATTCTCGCGACAGCACACGCGCAAGGGCGTTCGACAGACTTCGACATGCTCGCGCGCAAAGCCCGTTTGGTAGCATATTGTGAAAGTCTTGAAAAAACTATGGTTTTCTTGCGAATTCGCAAGAGCTCGCGCGTAAGCTTAAGTAGAAAATCAGTGTTGCGAAACCCTTTGTTTTTGATTGTTTTTTGGAAACTCGGTTGCGAAATCCTTCCGACACCGAAAGTTTTTGAAGGGTTTCGGCATGCGCGCGCGACGACGCGCGCGTGCGCACTTCGTCCCATTGTTTGCAAGAGATTCGTGACAAAGTCTTACGTTAGAACAAAACATGTCCCGCGCGCTATTTTTTTACCAGGGAACCTCCGGGGGACCGATACCGGTTCCCCGGTCCCCCGGGGATAGTGTAAATTCATATTTAGGATGGACATGTGGTCATAATCATATATGATTTGCGTACCCGAAAAAGGGGGACCGATAACGCTGGGGGGGTAGACTCTATTCTCTTTGTAGAAAGGAGAATCGACGATGGGCAATATATACTGCGCAAAATGTGTAATGCAATCTTTTGGATGATATCCGCCACCGTGTCTCGAGGCACGAAATGCAGCTACCCCCCGGCTCTCATGTGTGTTTACCTGTTCTCTGTGCTCAGGGTTGGGGGGTTCTGGTACACTACGGGCTGGAGCCCCAGATCATCAAATGTCCTGGGCCCTCCCGCGCGTTCCTTGACTGCCTCGCGCGACTTCTCAATAGGCCTGAAGGCCCCAAAACGGGCCAAGAGGACCCCTAAGCACGCCCACGAGGGTGCAAAGAGGCCTCCAAGCCAGCCCAAGAGCGCTCCAAGACGCCCAAGATGGCCCCAAGACGGACCAAGAGCCCCCGAAGAAGCCCCAAGAGCGCTCCAAGAGGATCCCCAAGAGGGCCCAGAGTGGCACAAATCACTGATCCCCCTTGCGTGTTTCAATGGTTTTCGCGTACTCGCGTTTTCGGGCTTCCGACGCTCCAAGATGGCCCCAGAGGCCCCCAAGACCGCCCCAAAATGTCCTAAGACACTCCCAATACGGCCACAAGACGGTCCAACAGGGCCCCAAAACGGCCCAAGAGGCGCTCAAGATCGCTGAACAGGACCACAAAACGGCCCCAAGAGGAGGAACACGAACCGACAATCCGAACCTTCCGCCCCAAGTCCCCAGGAGGCCCCAAGAGGCCCCCAAGAGAGCCCAAGAGGCTCCTGGAGTCCCCACGAATCCCCCGATAGGCCCTCCATCAAAAAATCCGACGAGGCTTAAAAACGGCCCCTAAGAGGCTCCAAGACTGCCTCCAAGAGGCCCACGAGGGGCTTCCCACAACATCCAAACGAACATCCAAGAGGCCTCTATAACCCACAG